AGAGATTAGATGAGTGTCAAATTCAAAATAGGATTCGGTATAGAAAAAGTGTCACCTGACTCTCTGGAACATATAATATGGATAAATATCTACACATGTTATAGAAGGCAGGGATTCATTCAGAAGAACCACAAGCAGTGAGTGATAGCTTATGTTTGTTCTTTGGGTGGACTAAATATGTATTTTTATGCTTTTGCAAAGATATTGGCCAAATAAAGGCGTTTAGTGTAGTTGGACTGGAAAACACGTGAGGCTGAATTATTTACCTTTATGTACACCACTACTACAGCAAATCATATATTAGCAGTATTTTAAAACAAATTTATCATTTTAAAATATCAGTTTTTTAAAGTTTCCCCAAGTGGCTTTGTAAAATAACCAAATTAGGTAAACAATGAGTATTAGGCTTCATGAAATATATGAACCAAATGGACTGAAACTGGTTTTTACTCTCCCTCTTTACGCCCAGCCTCTTCCCCACCGATGCAGTTAATTTTTACAATCCCTTTAGGGTCTGTACATTTTGATATAAGGAAACTAATGGTTTTTCTATACTTGAATCCAAATTAAATCCCTAAAGATTTTCCCTACTGGCAATTTCTAATAAAAAGCAGTCCCAAGGAAAGGTGACCGACGGAGTGCATGTGAGACTCATCTTCATTCTGAAGTGTGATGGAAACACAGGAGGCAGAAGGGACAAACCACGTAGCTTGGGAATGTGAAAGCCTGAGTTCCAGCCTCCTAGTTCTCTGACAAACCCGCTGTGAGGCCCATTACCTTACCTTAGTTCTATTTCCTCATCTGTAAAATGAGGGCACTGCAACTAGATGATTGCTAAACTCTCTTCCTGTTTTAAACAGTCTCTGTTGTAAAAGACTAGCCTGTATTGTCAGCCTGCATGGGCTACCACTGTGCGCTAATGAAGACGGCGTAATTGAACTTTCTGGATCTCAGGGAATCTACATGTGCCCTGCATTTTATTGTCCCACCAATGTACCTGAGGCTTTTAATGAGCAAAATGAGAGTTATCTACATACAAGATAAGCTTCAAGTGTCTGAGAGAAGGAGAAGGCTAGGAGAAGATATTACTTGAACTTGAAGATGGAAGAAACAGATTCAGATTTTCCTTTGCCACTAGCTTGATGACGGCTTGAGACAGCTGCCTCTGTTCATTTTAGGAGGGCCTTAGTTTCCTCTTTTGTAAATGAGGGCAGTTCCTCTGTTTGTGGTGGCCAGGGAAGCACACAGGTGGGTGAAATCACAGCTAATATAAAAAACATGGGCCGGGTGCAGTGGCTCATGCCTGTAATCCCAGCACTCTGGGAGGCCGAGACGGGTGGATCACCTGAGGTCAGGAGTTCAAGGCCAGCCTGGCCAACATGGCAAAACCCTGCCTCTACTCAAAATACAAAAAATTAGCTGGGCATGGTGGCT